AAAATTGCCATGCTAGTGAGACGACTTTGACTCATTGTAGATCTTAGATAATTTTTTATGATTTTTAATTTGCTAAAGCTCTTTTCGCATGAAGCTGTAGTCACAGGAATTGTTAAAAATATTCTTAATGCTACTTCTAAATTAGGATATAAATCTTGGAAAGAGTACTTATGAATATGTTTTAAAATATCTAGANAGGATATAAGTCTTGGAAAGAGTACTTATGAATATGTTTTAAAATATCTAGGTGGGTAGCCTTCTCAAATGAGGTCATTAATAATGGACCCTGATATTTAAAGCTTTCAATTTCAGAGTATAACTCTGTAGCATTCAGATCCCGATCGTATTTTAATGCTAAGTCATTAACCCAAAGTTTTATGTTTTCAGACTCCATAGTTGATAATGAGTTACCTGACAAGAAACTAAAATCAGATGCTATTTGTGACATTTTTTCAAACCTCCAACATAAACTAGAAAGTATAGAATCTAATGCTTCAAAACATTGAGCTCTAAATTCACTTTCTGTTGATTCATAACTTTTATTTTCTCTCTCTGTTGGTTCAACACTTACAGGTTTAATTTTAAGCTTCCTTTTGTTTGTAAATTCTGATAAAATATTTAAGGAAGTGGCCATATCTTTTGCTTCACACAAACATTTTTGAAAACCTTCTTCCCTTATTTCTTGAATTGATTTTATTAAACCATTCAACATTTTATCAGCTACATCTATAGTCTGATTTTTAGTTTGCAATGCAATATTGACGTAGTCTATCTGATTTAAAACTATGTTCCATAAATTAAGTAAACATAAAAATTTTTAATTTATTTGATATAATAAATGTTTAGCACCTTGTTTTGTATCATTATTAAGTTTAGAATCTTCAGACAAATTTTTAATATTTCATANAAGTTTAGAATCTTCAGACAAATTTTTCAATATTTCATGAACACCTTTTATGTTATTTTTAAGTACGCTTATGGCTTGCTTTTTAGTAGACCAACGCGTATCACAGTGAGGTTTTAATGTTATTTTGAGCACACTTTTCATTTTTTCCCATCTTGATGTTGACCCAGAAAAATATGTGAATAGTTTTTGGATAACACCGAAGAACGTAATAATAGTTGAAGAAGTTTGTGCCGCATGTACGCCAATTAAGTTCAAGCTGTGAGCAGCACATGGAACAAATATAGCCAAAGCATTTTTTGAAATAATATGGGCCTGAACTCCATTATAAATTCCAGCCATGTTGGCTCCATTATCAAATCCTTGTCCTCTGCAATCTTGGATGTTTAAACCATCTTCTTTCAATTTACTCAATATTTCATCAGCTAGTCCTGCTCCAGTTTTATCGTGGCTTATGACAAAGTCAACAAACGATTCCTCAATAGTTACTTCTCCGTCAACAATTTTTACATATCGTATTATTTCAGTTAACTGCTCCTGGTGAGAAATGTCTGGTGTACAATCGAAGAGAATTGAAAAATATTTAGATTTGTTTATTCTATTTAAAATTTCATGTTTAACTTGTTGGCCCATAAGTGTAATTAGTTCATTTTGAACAATATGTGAAAAATAACTGAGAACTTTATTTTTACTGTAACTATCTTTTACATTATTTACATGTTCGGCTAGTAAAGGATCATAATGACTTATTAATTAGATTTAGCCGAGAAAAATTCCACAATTATCATCGCCTTTGTCAGATGAACCTCTTAATGGCAAATTATTTTTAGCGCAAAATAAAATTACATTACAAATTGTTTTAAGTATATTACACCATTTATTTTTTTCATATTGAATGATTTTTTGCAAATCATTATCAATAGTTTTACCATCTTTTAATCGTTTTTCAAACTCCTTCCAATCTACATAACATTTTTGATGAAAATCACTTAATTCATGTTCAGAAATTCGAGGATTTAAGTGTTGCCAATCACTAAACCCGTTGTCAAAAAATGGAGATTTTCGTTTATTTTTATTTTTAAAAAGCAAACATGGAAAACAGAACAGAGCATCTTTACTAATACTATACACTAACCACTGTCTTCTCACATTTTCACCATTCGGTAGAGATTTAAAAAACCATTTACCATCAAAATGTCTCCCATCTGCATTTAATGGAAAGTAATGATTTACGTCAAGATGATACGGTTTCTGTTCAATAATATGAGTTCGAATGTTGTCTGTCAAGAGTGGCCAAAATCCAGGGTCATTAAAACATTCTTTATTTATAAAAACATTTTCGTCTTTCTGAATAATTTGTTGTTCAATATTTTCTTCTAGATTTAGTGCATTGTTTGACGTTGTTTCCAATGGTGTTTCAACTGTTTCAAGTTTCAAATCATAAGATTTTTGTTTTTGACCTAATGGTTCAACGAGTGCTGTACAAGCAACATCCTTTTCATGATTTTCTTTGTTAACTTTTTGAGTTAACCAATGTGCCATATTTGTTGCCAATTTTTCATTTTGTTTTTTTTCTTATTTCTTTCCTTTTCATTTTCCAGAATGTTTTTTTGAAGCCATTATATTTTTAAACTACCAGTTCTATTAAAAAAAGTTAAATCATGAAAATGCTGAAACGATAATATACTAAAAATTCAATACTTTTAGTTTTTGATATATAATTGACTCGCGATAGTCCGAATAGTCAACGGTTTAGTATATCATAATTCGCCGTTAGTTCCTCGCTGTGTTTAGTAATATTATGATTTTAGTATTAAATAAATTTCTCTTTTTTTTGTAAAAACTTAAGTGTGACTTCATTATTTTAAATAATTTCTAGTCAAATATTACATAAAAATACACCGTTAACTACATTTCCAAACATATGCACTGCAAATTCAATTAAACAGAGCCAACCTTTGGTAATCCAACATCCACACGGTCCCGTAGAGTCGGACTATCGCGATTCAACTGTATAAGATTTTGAAATTTAGGCTATAGAGCGTATAATATAGACAGATGAATTGCGGCCCGTACAATAGGTTATACAAGATGATATTTTCAATGAGGTTACTCATTAGCTAATAAAATTTACTTCATTTATTTTTATTTTCTGCACTGTTTAAATTAGTAAAGCATAATAAGTATAAAATTAAATTGTATTCGTTTTTTCAGCTAACAAGTCTTCAGGATCAGGGAAAATAAAAATTTTACCTGAATTGAATTTTGTGTGTCGAAACTTTAAGAAAGAAGCATGTACTAATTAAATGCTAATAAAAAAGTATAACTAATAAATAGTTGTAGTCGGCTAATTATTAGTCAACTAAAAAAATTTCCAGCAAAATTTTGTCATATTGATTTAAAAGTGTTGTAAATCAACAAATAATGT